TAACTCGAAAACAATTTTAGATATAAAAAAAACTGTTTAAATGTCTTATATGTAGGTTTTTGTAAGCTTTCTGATAATGCAAGTCATTTTTGTTGTAATTGAATACAAAATTTTACATTTTCTTGCTGTAATACAATTTAATAGAGGATAACACCCATTTTCTCAATCTCGTTCCCCGAGCCTGCGATCCTCGGGAAGGAACCGAAGGCTCTGGGATAATCCGTTTCAGGGAGGAATCTGATTGGCCATTGATATGGAATGCGTAGTTCAATCTTAGCCATGATTCTTGGCTTCCGGTAACGGATTATCCCAGAGCCTTCGATTCCTTCCCGAGGATCGCAGGCTCGGGGAACGAGATTGCCATTTTCTCGGTGTTGGGCAAGTTTTTTGCTTGGGAACTTTTTGTGGTAATTAAGCATCTATGGTTCTATGAATTGAACCACAGAAAATCTATTTCCCAGGAGGGTGCCACTAAATTGCTTTTCTAGGCACTTTTTCGCACAACAGCCCACGGCCAACATAGGTGCATTTTGTCTGCGCATGCGCGAGAATCGTTCGTGCGATTGCAAATGGCGGACTTTAAAGGGTTTGTGAGTTTTGTCATGGTTTTTATGAAAAATATGGACTGAATTTTTGTTCGATCTCTCAGAATTCGTGTTAATCCTACGCAGGTAAGGGTATTAGTTTTATTACAGTTTAATTCTCTCCAAAATTCATGGTCTTTCGTTTAATAAATTTTCGTCATTTGCTCGACACGATGCTTGCCTTTATAGTCCCCATTTCTATAGTCAGTTGAGCTTAATATGTAAGTTACTCGCTTGTTTGGCGTGTTTTCTTGTTTTAAATAGGTTTATAATCTTTCTATGTTTGGATATTCTTGAATAGTATGAGTAATTAATGAAAATAATGAAAATCTACTGCCATAATTTTTGGATCAATATGGCTGTGTGCATTTGGTTGAATAGAGATCTTGTAGTAAACCCTATACCGTTGCTTTAGGCTTAAATTTTCCCAAATAATATATTTCCTGCCAAACTTTTTTTGCTACTTTCTCATACAGGTTGCATTAAGTGTTAAAAATAGGTACGCGCTGCGTACATGTGTGTAGCCTGTATTAATTGTTGTTAAAGCTGGAGTAATACGCGCAACAAAATTGCTGCAACAAGATTTCTGCAACAAAATCTGATTTCAACGCATTTTAAGTAGAAATGTTGACAAAACATTTCAATTAACATGCGCAGAAATCAGATTTTGTTGCAAGTTGCAGCAATTTTGTTGCCCATATTAGTATATTGCTCCACCTTAATTGCTATTGTCAAATTCCAAATTTACTGAAAGAAAGTATTAAGTAAATTGATCACAGTTCAAATATTATACACACATTTAATCACATACTGAACGTCAGATATGACAAAAATACGTAAACGACTGTTAGGTGCATTTTTCAATAAGCATAAACAGATATAAGAAGTTACAAAGTATTTTAACGTGTCAAAAATAATTAGCACACTGAACAGACGGAACAGTACAAGGTCTTTAATATGTATACGAAACAAAATTCACACGCCGAAATACAGACAGTACGAAAAACACTTAAGACAAGAACAGTTCTTGTTCAAGGACAGCATACATCAAAGACAAAGGATCAGGTTTACAGGCTGCGTATATACAATTTTCGTGAAGTTTGAGTTTCAATAGTCTGCGCGCAGACTATATAATGACATATATAGTCTGCGAATCCGTGGCATGAAACTTGCATGGTCACGTGAATTTCCCAAGAAAAGTTGGGACAAATTATGATTGGTTGAACTATTATTATGCAGAATTAGTGTTAATTCATCGGACATTGCGTTCGCAACGCGCGTTGGCTGTTCAAAATTGACAGTTTCCAAGGTCAAATGACTCAAATGACAATGTTTATTACAGTTGTATTTATAGAAGTGTGGCGGATAAACAAAAAAGGCCGTTGTTTTCAAAACGGAAAGCCCATTTCACCAAACAATAGATGTAATATTATAGATTTCTTCTACATCGGCCTTTCTTGTTTATCCGCCACACTTCTATAAATACAACTGCAATATAAACATTGTCATTTGACCCTGGAAACGGTCAATTTTGAACAAGCTCAACGCGCGTTGCGAACGCAATGTCCGATGAATTAACATTAATTCTGCATAATTATAGTTCAACCAATCACAATTCGTCCCAACTTTCCTTGGGAAATTCACGTGACCATACAAGCTTCATGCCACGGATTCGACTCTACCCAATAAGTCGAGAATGAATATTCTGGCTGTATACAGTGGAACCCCGTTAATACGGTCGCCAACGGGCCGAAATAATATGGCCGTATTAACGGGGTGGCCGTATTAACGGAGTGAGATCAAATTTCAATTGTGACGTCATTAAAGCTATGTTTATTCGAAAATCACAATAACACCATACCCCACCATAATACCTATTAATAACTAAACATTATAAAGTTCAGATAAAGTTGTCACTAATTTTAAAGAAACAATGTTAGGGAATACAACGTCGCTAAAGAACCTTGTATTCTTTCTTTTCCTTTGCGCGACTGATAATAAAAATAAAAAAATAGTAATATGATGCAACTTGAATTTTGTGTTTCACTGCACAAGGTGTCTTAAATTATACTGCATTTCCGTCCGTAAACACATTTATTTTTTTGAGTGACCGTATTATAACGGGGTGATTTCTTTAGTTCGGGACTCTACAATATGGCCGTTGGCCGTATTAACGGGGTGGCCGTGTTAACCGGGCAACTTTATTATAAAATGTATTAGTGTTTCGCCGGGACAAAAAAAAGTGACCGTGTTATCGACGTGACCGTATTAACGGGGTGGCCGTAAGGCGGGGTTCCACTGTAATCACATATTCTTATAAATAATCAAACTCTGCACGGTGTTATCAATATTGTTTCCTTACATAACACAATTGCCTCACGCCCCTATCCCTGTCGATCAAGCTCCTGGCACCATATTTGGATGCAATCACCTACAGTCACATGATCACGCCACTAAATAAATCCTACTCCAGAAAGGCTTGTGTATTTAATATTCAATATTTATTGCGTGCTCCCTTTCCATCACAAGCATTCAAATTCAATATTTAACCTTGAAGGACTTGCAAATTGCTTCGCTTCACAAAATACCAAAGATGAACAATAAAGTACGTAGTGTTGGAATGTCCCGCAACAACAAGACCTTTGCCTTTGGTAGGATAACTTGACTAATAACATATAGTAATTTCATCTTTTATCACTATCTTTCAACCTTCAATTTTGTACTGTGTAATTAATTATTTATAATAACTTCGTAATAATTTGTTTTTCTCTTGGTTTCACATATGTTCCGTACTCCTTATAAACTCTCCTGCCTAATTCTAGTTCTACTCCGCAAATTCTATATACACCTCCCTTAATTAAATAAACTCTGCTGAGGAAGACTGTTA